AAGTCTTACTATTTAGCATCACTAAATCCCATTTTTCACGGGCTTTCATTTGGTATAAAATTCATCATATCTCCGATTTAGAATTATAGCGTTACCCCCCTTGAATAATATTATTTACCACCCTGTAGATCATAATTCACTCGTCGAACATATGAGCGTTCTCTTTTCAGCACTAATGCCATTCTCGTTTCGGCTTTTTCATTTTATAATTCTGACTTCATTCCCTGCAATAATTTTGGTCATTCCCTGCACATTTGAAGTGCTTAAATCACTCCAAATTGGACTATAAATAGGCAACCGTTCTGTTTTTAGCCCTAATTTCGTTCTCTAAAAAATCCTTGTCCTACAAATCACATTCGAACTGAAAAATTATGTTAGGATATTGAATATAGGCAAGAATAAAGGACGAGGGCCAATAAGCCGATCATCCCGACCAAACCAAATCACAATAAAACTTACATATTTGGAATCAGCATCGAATTCTGAGTATTTCTGCTGATTTACTTTTTCGAAAATGTCACTCTGAATTTTTTCGAAAAATTCTGGACCGGAGGTCCCCCTTTGGCACATGGAAAAAAAAACTTCTTCTGATTTTAATAAATGACACATGTCTAGACTCGAAAAAGTAAATCAGCAGAAATACTCAGAATTCGATGCTGATTCCAAATATGTAAGTTTTATTGTGATTTGGTTTGGTCGGGATGATCGGCTTATCGGCCCTCCTCCTTTCAAGAGATAATAGGATGTTGAAATAATGAGTATGAAAATTATTTTGTGATCAAAATTGGTGAGTAATTAAATAGCGGAAACAATTACCTTCTATTTTCACACAGACTGAAATAGATAAAAGTAATTTATAAAGTAGTTATCTCAGTTATCTCTTCCGATTTGTCGAAGATTTTTCAATGTGGGGATTTTTCTCCGCCTTTTTCTAATTTCTAAAGATGTCGAGTTGGTCATCCTGGAATGTCTGTCTCGGTTGAACGAGCCAATCGGTATAAATATACTTTCAATATGTTTAAAAAATTCACCAGATGCACTTTTTCATAAAAGATCCTTGTTTCCAGTTCTTTATATTTGTATAAAGATTTTTATGTATATTCCTTCTATTCTCAAAATGTTTGTTTGGTTTTTTTATATAAACTTCGTATATAGAATGAGACTTAGAATTTCCAAACAGCAAAGTCTTTGAATATAATACAAATCTTTCTAGTGCTACTATTATTACAAAGTAAACTCTTCATTCATTAGTTAGAGCCGTGGGTATGTTTAACATTTATTTTGTGTTATTTTCTATGTAATATGTACAACAAACGGATCAAATGAAAAAACAAATAAAAAGAGAAAAATAGAATATATACTGTTAAAATAGTACAAAAAAAATACAAAAACATGAAATATCAGAACTAATAAGTATGTAGTGTTTCTATGTTTCTTAAAGATATTTTGATTTTGCGTTAAAAAATAAATTAATGTACGAAAATAGAAGTTGACTGTGAGATGGTGAATATAAAAACAAAAAAAAGATAAAAATAAAGCCATCGGTATTTTATTTTTGAAAGACGGAAAAAAAATAATCATATACGCATAGTAAATGTCATTTTGATTCTTCAATTATGCATCTATTTCACTACTATGCGCAGCAGCGGAAGACCACATGTAGGAAAAGTACTCTTCGCGAATTAATATCAATCCACATCTATACTGATCTTGATGAATTTCAAGTTGTTGTTATTGCGAATTTGATGCTTAGACTTTGGCACAGTTGATTAATCAAAATGTGAGGTTCAATTAGCTTGAAGCTAGAAAACACATCTGGAAACCAGAAGAACAATATAATAAAGTCGATGTCTTGTTCGGGTGATTATTCTATTTTGTAATGCATGGCTTGAAAAACAATAGGAATCACCAGTAGATAATGTAATCAAACATATAATCTTGGTTATATTCTGTTCATGTCATATTATCGGTCAAGATTAGTTTGTGAGGGAAAATGACATTCGTGTATAGAAATCATTCAATACTAAAAAAACAAAAATATATAAAACCTCTATCCCATTATGTATGGCAAACGCTGTTAGACGATTAAAAAAGAGGAGAAATACAGCGGATAGTATTAAAATTCTAGTAGAATATTGAATCTGAGTTGATTTAGTAAAATAATCTCTTTAAAAAATATTATATAATTAACGATAGCCAGCGCACTGTATAAGTAGTCTAACGACGTAAGAACAATAAGAAAAAACAAACCTCGACCAATCTCACCATTAGTTTGAGTTGTATATATATAAGTTCACAATGAACTTTCTTTCTTTTCTTCCCACAATGTTGTACATCCACTTGAATTTTTCCTGGAAAAAAACAAATATTTACCATTTGACCAAACTAGACACTTTGTAGAATTTCATGCTGTCATACTAGAACGAGCAAACAATGTTTTATTCCGAATGATCTATGAAAATTTCAGTCGTTCACTCTTCTAATAATAAGTTTGTAAAATTCTAAGACGTTCAGATAATGTAAACATTCTTTAACAGGATGCAAGATTGCACTTTTAGCTAAAATCTGTTTTCTGAGTATACAGTACTCCGTAAAAGTAGCGACACCCCTATAACTCAATAGAATCTGCATTCACTGTACATCATAATCATGGAAACCTATAATTCAGAAAAACGTAGGTGAAATTTTTGTCAGAAAGATTACACGCTCACCTCTCACCTTCGTCGTTTCATTTATTTCGCGCCTTTTTCACTTCCCTTATATTTTCAAGCAAAACTAATAACATATTTGAGATCAGCAGACAAACCTCTTCCGTAAAATAGCTGCATTCCACTAACTACTAATAGCCAACTCACGAAATTCATATGGTAGATAGAGTAGAATCGTGGCTACGTTTCAGTAAAAAAGAAACAATTTTCATCTCTCTTAGATCAGGAGCTATTGATATTTTACGGAAAAGAAAGAAATCGACGAACCATCCAGTGAAAGAGGCTCAAACTTGGTAGGTGATGAGCATTCTGTAAGAGCTATGGCCACACAACATTAGAAGTCTCTAGCTGTCATGGTTCTTGAGTTATAGGGGTGTCGCTGCTTCTACGTAGTACTGTAGCATTCATGTTCTTTTTCTTGATTTACATGCAAACATGAGTAAATTTAAAAAAATTATCGTGCAGGATTTTTCGTTGAACAATGAGTCTGTAGTTTACAGTTGCATAAAACCTACCTTGATTCAAAATCCATCTCCTCTGAATTCCTGTTATGAGCCAATAAATCTCATAGTTGATAGAAACTAACAATGTAAGCGAATAAAAATTTACTCACTCTTGATTATAAGACGTGTTATTATCTGATGTACAACCAATCGCACTTTCATGTAGTTTTTCCATTTCACGCAACTGTTTTAATTCTTTCGCCGAACAGGTGATCATATCAACCGGATAGATCAGATTAAATCTCGAATAATCAATTCGATATAAACCATCATTTCGTTGAAATGTAATTAGACGTTCAAAACGGTAACCCCATACAATTTCGGATGGTAAATAAGATGTCCTTGCTTGGGTGGTCATACCTGTCGATTCAATAATACCTTCGAGTATCACAACTAATTCAAAACGTTGTTTAGCTAAATCATTTCTTCCAATATCCCATAGTGGCGAATGTTCGTCAATTTCATGAGTAATGATTAATGGCCATATTAAAAAAAGCCGATCGATCCCTTTATCAAATCCCACGTTCATATCGTAGGTATGCAACGGTAACACCTCACCTTCTTTTGTCACTTTTTTCTTAATCAAATACATTCTCACATGTGCCTCAACAATATGAGACTTTCGCATATCACCCACACGACATTGTAATGTTAAACGACCATCTCTTAACGATATAATGGCCTCACGTGACCAGATGAGTGTTTCGGTGCGCTTTTTTGGACGAGATATTTTAGCAAACACAACGCCCACTATAAAACTTTGAATCATGACACCTAACGATGATTGTAACATCATAATTATGATAGCTGCATAACATGTCTCTTTAACTACACGTGTACCATAGCCGATTGTTTGTTGAGTTTCGATTGAAAATAATATAGCTCCTGCGAATGATCTTACGCCGTATATACACGCCGAATAATTTGCATTATTAAAATTTTCCTCTTTAAAATCACCATAGGCGTACATTAATAAATACCAAACGATGGCAAATGCTAACCAACTAACACAAAATCCTAATGTGAATAAACATAATGCCCAACGCCATTTTAGATCGATTAAAGTCGTAAAAATATCGGCTAAATATTGACGGCGACGTTTCTCAATATTAAATCTAAAAAAATATATATAGACAAATATTCAGGCAAATATAAAGAAGATACTAATCTAATTAATTAATTACCTTGAAATATTTACTTCACCATTTTTCAGCAATAATCTTCTTTGTATATTACCTCGAGTTGCTAATTTTTGTGCTTCCGACTTTTCTTTGCCATCGTGTTTGCCACCAAGTAATCTTAGAGCTTTTGTACCTTTTGTGGTGCATTGTAGTCTAAAATAGAAAGCTAAGAATATTATTCAAGTAATGAAGTTAAGACGAAAAAAATGCAATAGTACAACTTATGACAGTTTTACGTGCCTATTCTGCCAACAGGAAATATTAGATGTTATTCTAAATTTTAGCAATAAAATCTTCTGAAAAGATGACTTATGATGTATATTAAATATTTCGTTGTTTACTATTCTTAATAACAAAAATTTTATCAATAATATAGTTTAAAGAAATATACAATTTGATTCTGATGCCAGAGTCCTTCCATGGCTACTGTTTTATGTTATTTACCCTCTTTTGTTTATTATAAGAAATGGAAAACACTCACAATACCGAGTGAAAAGGGAGACTTTTATCATAATTCAGACAATTAAACTATCTCTCTATGAGACTAATATTTAATCAAACGTTAATAGTATGAATCTTAATATTAAAATGATATTAAGCTAAAGACCTTGTCATATGTGATGTGGTGTTTCCAACATAACCATTTTCTCTGCATTGTTTTGCATTTTTACTTGTCTCATTGAGTAGTTCAGCGGTACCTTCATCCATCGTTACTGCTGCGGCCTCATTCGTAAATTGTGGTTCATCTTCTTGGCCAGTAGATGTATTTAAATTTAACAGGTGATCTTTTGACATTTTCGACTGTTGTTGTGGTTGAGTTAATGAATCCGATTTGTCTAGTGAGCCTCTTGTTCGTCGATACCAAGGTACACTCAATGATATTGCACTTGATTTACGAATTTGTAATTTAGTTGCGGTTGTTGATGCTGGTATTCCACTACTGTTAGCACAAGATGCTTTTGTTACGTAATAGTTAAAATTACTGCGATTATTAGCTGAGTTATTTAGATTTGTTTTATTACAATTTGTTAAACCCGGCGATAACGGGTGTAAATATCCGGTATGAAAATCATATGTACTATAACGATGATGGTGATGGCGAGTAGTATTGTTCGAATCGTTTGAATTCTTAATTCGATTATTTGTTTGAGAGGGGATTAATTGACTTGTGGTACTCGACATTTTGGTTTGTTAATATTTGTAACAAATATAAATTAATGATATTCAACCCATGATGCCTAAAAACATATAGATAATATTAGGAATTAAATGAAACAAGAGATGGAACGTTATCGACGTATCTTACTGAAACTCAAAGAACTTCCACTTCATCAAATTCTTATATAGTTCGATTATTTAGATTGCTTTAAGTTGGTGTATTTTTACTACTATGTAATTTCTTACTATATTATATCTGATGGTCAAGTACGATGTGTTGGACAACATGAAAAATTCAAACTAAACAAATCCCTATTAGATAAAAGTGTTTCCGTAGAACTTTGGTACCTAAAAGTGGAAAACTCTTGAACTCCGTAGTCCGCATGATTTTAGATCGTCAATAGTGACAAGCATTCTTCTGACGTGAGAGTCGAAATATACGCATAAAACCATCCTACTTTAACTAATTCCAACATTATCAGCCTCCTGATTGAAGATAGATGTTTGAAGTTGGGTCGCTACACAACATAGACATTGGTGGAACCATTGACTCAAAAATCTATCAGCCACTCAAAGATGTAAAGAGCCAAGGTCATCCATTATCTTCGATACTTCACAGAAATACATACCAGTGATCTTGATAATGGGGTTATAAAATCTAAAGTCTTCAACATGACTGAGTAAATCGGCTCACACAACATTAGACGGTTAGTACATCAAAATCAACTACTATATTATCTTTCTACTATTCTTCTTGACTGCCCTAGGGGGGGATACAAGTTTACCTCTCATTGGCCGTGTCGAGCTTACTGCAAAAATCTACTTCAAGGAGAGTAAGTTGGAATAAAAAATCGTTAAAACTTGCAGTGACTATAGACCTATGCGGGTATCATTCTTCTTAATTTATTTTTGGTGAAATAACATTTAATTAGAAATCATCTATCTACTATGATTCAGAATCCTACGCATGTATGTAGAAATCTTTGACGCTTCACATACTTAATGAAGTGAATCATTTCGATGAGTTGTTTATGGTTGACATTTCCATTAGACGGGTTTGGCTTACTCAAAGCATCAAAAGTCACGAGCTTCAACAGATCTTTATGAAGAGACTAATTTTCTCCTCTCTGTTAATCGTTATCAACTCAGGAATAAATGAATAATTGATACAGCTACTCAAAAAAATTATCGTTTTAAAATAATTAGAACTTCTAATATAAGCTTTTTAGCGGCTGTCATGAAAATATCTACTATCTAGAATTTTAACTGTTTAATTCAAGGATCTGTAGATCCTTGAAGTTCTGCACTACCAATGTATTGATAGTGCAGAAATACATATAGAACAGCAGAGAAAAAATTATCTCTAGCAACGCATATGTCACAGAGAGTATATAAAGAGGCGGTCATAATTTCAAGACACTTTTGTTTTTAACCTTTTTTCTTGCTCAGTCATAATAGCTGGAAAAAAACGAAAAATCATTCAAGTAGGTGAACGACTTTTCAATTGTGTGTATATGTAAATTCAATTGAAATTGCTGGAAACTGTACCTTTGGAGCCAATCGGAAAGTTTTTGCAAACAACGTGATTGTATAGACTAAACATTTCTAAATGTCTCTGTATGACATATTCTCACAAAATTATATTCAATTTACGAAAGCTTCTACAAGCATTTTTTGGTCTGTTTTTCTATCCATTATAAATTAAATAGGGAAAATTCACGTTTAAACAGTTCAATGTTGAGAGCTGATATCTCCTAGACATATTGTGTGTGTCAGAAGTCGGTTATGATTTAAATTTGGTGTTTCTAAACTATTCAGTTGGTAAAGATACTTACAGAAGTTATAGTTTCTAGTTGTGACTTAGACCATATCCCTCTATATAAATAGACTTCGGTTGTATTTCAGTAAACAGTTGAGGTTAACAAATTTAAATTGTGACTAATATAGTAACCTTTGATGCATAATTTATGAAGACAATTCAAAAATATAGGAGTCGAAATGTGGTGTTTAAGAGTCATATATTTATACTCAATTCATAATGCGATACCAGTGGTTTTGATGCCTACAAGCTTTCAGTTCCAGTTTCTGTTGTATATATATTGATCGACTTTTGCAAACAACTTTCCGATTGGCTCCAAAGGTACAGTTTCCAGCTCTGTTTTACTCGAATTTACATACACACACAATTGAAAAGGCGTTCAGCTACTCAAATGATTTCTTATATTTTTTCCAGCTATTATGATCGCGCAAAAAAAGGTTAAAAACAAAAAGTATCTTGAAATTATGACGGCCGCTTTTGGTCATTTAAGGCCCCTTCCCCGGATCAAAAAAGTATTTCAGCACAGGTACGTCTGATCTGAATAAAACTTTCGGGAAATATTCACCACGTCAAAGTACGGTAACGAAATCTTTTTCTGCCGACTCTTGCAGCTGTTCGTGAGAGGGTGTCACAAAACAAGGATCAAAAATAGACGCCCACCACGTGCAAGAATTTTTACTTCATGTAAACGATAAAGAGCTCGGCCTTTTTTTGTTCTGCAGTAAACCCCTATGGCAGAGCCCGATATTTGAATTTCTCATTTACTGATTTCTGGTGCTTAACAGAACTTCAAAATCCGAAAAATCCTTGGAATATTTCTGAGAAATCCGCATTTATATAAGAACTCTGTCAAGTCCTAGCTATAGGTGTTATCTACAAATCTGAAAAAAAACTATCTTTCTCCGATATATCGTTACCGAGAATTCCTGCACGTGGCGAAAGCTATGAAGCTAAAAACAGCCTTAAGAAAAACGTAAAATAAGTAATAAGTTTTGATTCTGTTAAATGCGTTTTACTTGAAAACTATTTGAACGTTAAATAATTTATTAATACTTTTCTAGAGGTTGTCGGTCATGGTGGATCTATGGACATGTGCGTGCGCACATGCAAGCACAGTTACCTGAAAAAAAGTCATTTTTTTTGTTATAGGGATTCTGGAAAATCCGCTCAAAAACCATGAAAAATCTATTCTATCGACACAAAAATTATGCCGTTAGAAATCAGACACTTTGGACTATCCAACTATGTGCTTTTCTTAAAATCGATATTTTTGACGAAAACAGGCATTTCTTACCCGGGGGCCTTAACACTCCAGTTAAGAGTAAAAAATCATTGACGTATCTACCTGTTCTAAGAGTAGTAGTAACTCTATTTAGATAGTAAAAGTTGTAATTAACATATAATTTTAATACCAACAAAGATAGTGTGCAACACAATATTAAGCATTTCGATTTACAAAACATGCTTTCAGTAAACGTCATATTTAATAATGTTCCTGTAAACATTAATTCACTTAAATACGTGGTTTTTTTTTCTCTTAAACTCTACTTTTTCTTCAACTGCTATTCCTAATCAACAACAAACCATTATTATAGAAGTTTCTCTCTGTGCTTCTTCTTGAAGATTTTTCTCTTCTGTTATTAGTACACTCTTCCGAAACTCTATACGCAGGATAATGCTTGGAAGAATCATTTATTTTCACTGGAACTCCACTCTTCTATTTTCTTTGTTTCCTTTTTCTAGTTCTTCCTTAGACTTCCTATTAACAAGAAACGTGTGACGAGTGTAATGAACACGTTAAAAAAAAGTGATACAAATTAACTTTTTTCCTTTTTCTTTTCGTATTTATTATATACTATTTTATTTTGCATCCTATCGGTAAATTCTTGTTTATATTATCTGAATAAATCTATTTGAACCTTGATTTTTCTTTGCGTTCTATATTCCGTTTCTTTTTACGGACATAGTCATATTAAAAAATTCTTTGCTATTTATTTTAAGCCTGATATTTTAATTGAAATAACGCACTCGTAACTCACATGAAGCATTCTTACTTTTAATGAATCAGAAATATTCAGATTAAGATTTGTACTAATCTTTTTATGTGCTAATAATACAATGTAGCACTCATGTTTAAGTTCGTAGAACTAACTTAGGGATTACAAGCTCAAAAAATAAAGCAGTACTATACACACGACGATAAGTTTTCAGTGCAGATCCCAGACATGAAAAGTATCATAAAAAAACGGCAAAAAACACCAATTTCACACGGTTTATGTACCAGCAAAAAACCGACGATTTGACACAAAATAATTGTTTTTTCGGTTGAAAATCGTGTGTAAACCAGTTGACTTTTCGATCGTTTTTTTTAAAAAGTCCGGTTCTGACCGCAGTTATGAACGGATTTTTTTCTCTACAAAACTGGCGATAACCGCGTTTTTTCATAAATTTAACTTAATAACAACAAAGACGCCTCATTCCAGCGGTACTAGGACATCTACAGTTCATTGACAAACTACTTTTGTCAACTCAACTCGATAGTCACACTTTGATAAATTGTTGAGAAGTAAGACTGAACTTCTTTTTTTAACGAAGTTTTATTATATAGTAGTGACGGCTGCAAAATAGAATGGTGAATGAAACGCGACGATTCTTCAAGCGGTTTTACCCGATTATTCAACTAAAAACATCCGTACAGAACCGGGGAAACGATAAGCGCTGCTAAAAAGAAGCCAAACCGTTAAAACCACGTGTTGGAACCGACATAATCGAAAGAAATCATTTATGAAAAAGTTCTAAAAAAACTGCTCATAGCTACAGTTATAACCGCTGAGCCTACAAATAACCGGACGGTTGTCGGTTTTTTTCAATAAGACTTTTAATAGCAGCTATAAAGTGCATAAATAAGAAAGCTTTTTAAAAATTATGTCGACATTTCGATATTTCTAATATCATTTTCAAGAACATAAAATTACATTATGAAAATAAATATATTGAGAAACTGTTTCTTCACACGTGTAGAACACTACTGTCGCAATATTACTGCGTGTGTGAAGAAACAGCTTCATCTTCTCAATATATTTATTTTCATATTGTAATTTTATGTTCTTGAAAATGATATTAGAAATATCAAAATGTCGACATAATTTTTAAAAAGCTTCCTTATTTATGCACTTTATAGCTGCTATTAAAAATCTTATTGCAT